ACCTAGTGAGTTCAAGGCCAGCCTTTGCTGGTTGAGTGCCTGTCTAAAATATATATTTGAGTACCTACTCTATAATAAGCTAGGATATTGTCAAGGCAGCCAGATTGAATTCTAAAGGCCCATCATGGTCTTGAGAGATGAATCAATGGTTAAGAGCACTGGCTGCTCTTGCAAAGGACTCGGATTCAGTTCCCAGCACCTACATGGTGGCTCGCAACCATCCAAACATAACTCCAGTTCCAAAGGATCTGCCCTCCCCCCTCCCACCTGGCCTTCTGACCTCCGCCTCTTGGCAAGCATGTAGCACACATACAGGCAAACCACTCATGCACATCAAAATAAGTAAATCATGTGTGTGTGTGTGTGTGTGTGTGTGTGTGTGTGTGTGGGCATGTACATGTAGAGGCCAGAAGAAAGCATGGGCCCCTGAAGCAGGAGTTAGAGGCAGTTATGAGCTACATATGGGGAGTCGGAAACAAAACTCAGGTCCTCTGCAAAAGCAGTATGCACTCTTAACTACTGAGCCATCTTTCCAGCCCCCAGAACACTTATCTACTACTGTGTTTTCACTCCTCAAAAGCAAGCACACGGTAAGAGTCTATGGGTATTTAATCAATAAAGAACATTGAAACCAATAAACCGTTCAACATACAGCAGGTTGAAGGAGACAGCAGGAGGGAGCTGCCAGTGTGGCGCACAACAGAAACTTGGAAGAAAAGAGAGGTCCCCAGGAGTAGGGCACAGTCAAAGGGGTGGGGAGGGGAAGAAGGCAGAGAAAGGACACGTTAAAGGAAGCATGCTCTAGAGGACTTAGAACAGAAGGCTGGGAGCAGGCAGGGATGATTGGACACTGTGCAGAGAGGTGAAGGAACCAGAGTTCAGGCAGAAGCAGGCCAGAGCAGTGAGTGTACAAGTTCTAGGGGAGACCACAGAGATTGGGGGGGGGAGACACGGTAGCAGCTAGTGTGAAACTCCGAGTCTGACTTCCTTCTGTTGTTTTCTTTCTGCTGCCCAGTGAACTGAAGGGGACAGAAGAAGGAAACCTAAAAGGATGGGACCAGCTGGCGGCTCGCTCCTGAAGAGCCAGCAGCAGAACTGGAACCTCCAGAGACCCTTGCCCTTATGGCTTCTTCTACTCACACACTAGAGCTAGTGGCATACGATGTAAGACAGTTGTGCAACGACCATTCATTGAGCTGCAGGTCTGTGCTGGCTAGTGTCATGCCAGTGAGACACAAGCTGACATCGTTTGGGAAGCGGGAATCTTAACTGAGAAAATGCCCCCACCAGAACGATCTAAGGGCAAGCCTGGGTGCATTTTCTTCATTGGCGATTGTTGTGGGCAGTACCATCTCTGGGCTGGTGGTCCTGGGTGCTATAAGAAAGCAGGCTGAGCAAGTCATGAGGAGCAAGCCAGTGGGCAGCACTCCTCTGTGCTGGTGATCTGAGAGCTAGGAGGTTGGAATAAACCCTTTCCTTCCCAAGTCGCCTTTGGTCATGGGGTTTTATCACAACAAGAGAAACCCTAAGGAACACAATTTGTTGTAGAGGGGTGGGGGTGGGTGCTGAATTATCTGGAAAATAATTTCAAATTTTCACTTATTGCCACGAGAAGTGTTTTGCCCCAGAAATCAACTGAACACACCTGCGATCCCATCTTGCTTGCTTTCAGGTCCCTCCTTCCGCCTGTGCTCCAGATGCTGAATCTGAATTGAGTCCCTGAGCAAAATCTCTTAGGCCTCTAACATCTGTGTTATCGCAGGTGAGTCAAAAATCAATCAAGAGGTGGTACTCTCCTTAAATATACACTGTTTGCTTCACTGGGCTTTCTCAACTCAGGGCATAATTTTGTTTTCACTCTCTTTTTTTTTCCCCTCTCAAGACAGGGTTTCTCTGTGTAACAGTCCTAGCTGTCCTGGCCTCACACTCACAGAGAGTCACCTGCCTCTGCCATGATTAAAGGTGTGTGCCACCACTGCCGGCCTCGTTTTAATTTTTAACAGCAAATAATTTTGAAATGTATATGGTCTTAAAAATTAGATTTCACATTCACCTATCTTTGCTGAGAATTACTCCCGCCTCCATGCCCACCACACACATGAACACAAAATGGTATACAATGGCTTAATTCTATCCTCTAGCCCAAACCAGCCTCTGGTGTGGCCACAGAACCACTCAGGAAGTGGGCCAGGGCTGAAGTGGAGTGAACCAGAGTCTCTCTGTACAGTCTGTGCAGGCAGAGGGTAAAAGAGCAGACAGGGGACCGCCAGTGTCAGCAGGGGCCATCAGTACAGCCTGCTAATCAAAGACTTTTTCACTGTCCACACTATAATTGGTTTACAGCTTTTTTTGTTTATTTATCCATAAGAGCTGCTGTTAAATGGCTCAGGCAGGCTCCTGCCTAATGGCTGGGTATCTCAGAGGCCTGCTGGAGGCGGAGGAGGCACAGGCGGCAGGGGATGCAGAGCGGAAATGCGGTTCACCTGTAATGGACTTGGCCACTCTGGGAGGCAGAGAGGCAGAGAAACGCTGAGTGATCTTGTTCGCTGGAGTTTCTGTAGTGTGCAACCATTAGCCAGTCAAAAACCTAAGAGTCATACCAAATGGTTATGGGATCTTTGTTTCTCAAGTCCCTTTTTAAGGAAGGAGATGGCAGAAAACACTACTTGTGAAATCAAGAATATGCCACAAACACCCACAGGCAGGAGAGGGAGGATCCTTTTTGCTCAGCCTGGGGGAATTATTTGTTTAGCTTTGTTTTCTGCCGGAGAGACACTTTCCTTTTTGCAAAGCCCAGCAAAAATATTAAATGGGAACAAACGAAGCATCGAAATGGAAGTCAATTCACCGAAATGCGCACAATTAGACCAGAAGTGCTAAGTAAACACTCTGGGGGTGACAGGTGAGGCTGAGTGGGGGGGAGAAAGGGGAGGAAGGAGAACAGCGAGGATCCAGCTCCGGGAGTGCCCAGGTGAGGGGAGGAACCAGGAGGGAAGGTGCCTATCTTTATCCCAAACTGGAGACACGCTCATAACCGCGTCACCAAGTCAACCCGCACGGCCACTTGGCAGATTATCTTCCAGGGTCAACACCCTGCGTCCGCGCCGCCCACTCTGGCCCTGTCCTTCCGATCGATGTGGCCACTCGCGGTCAAGGAGATAGCGTCGAGTCCCGGGCGGCCACCCTGAACAATAGACTCATTGAGGCGGGCCTGTCGAGATTAGGTGCACGGCGCCCCGGCCTTTCACTCCCAGGGCCCTCGATGGCAACAGGTGGCCCTTTTCCCTGAAGAAATCAGAGACACTCTCCCCTCTGGCCTGGCTTCCCTCGGTGAGAACCTGAGCCGGAGCTTGGGACTATAGAGGGTCTAGGCTCTCACGTCAGCACTGGGCAGCATGCAAACAAAATAGAATCCTAGGAGGGAAAGAAATTTCAGAACACAAAACCCGCATAATTTTTGTTTGCCTTTAATAATAGTTGAGACTAGCCTACTCCATCTGAATACACTTTTTCCACTAGGAAAAAAATATTAAAATGTTGCGAAGGTTTTAATGTGGTTGTAGTGTTTGGTTGAGTCGGGACACAGTGTAAATCACTTTCCTCTTGGTTGCATGTGCCTCCCGCCTGCTTTTAACAGAGGCTCTCTGCACCGATGCAAAGAGGCCCGGTTATTCCAAAACCTTCCAGTGGCCTTGGAGGACCAGGTCAAGGAACTCAATGAGTCCGCAACCTCTGTAACATCTGCTCCAGAGAAGGAACACGAAAGCCACTGGATCCGTGCCAATGGGGACACACACACACACACACACACACACACACACACACACTAAAGTGACCCTGTGAAAGGCAGGTCCCCCAGCATATCTGGCAGGTGGAAACCAGGCACAGGCATCCTTGAACCGGCAGGGTTTTAATTTCGTTTTCTAGGCATCCCAATCATCTCCTTGCCCAGCTGCGCTGTTTCAATAACACACAATGTGGGTCTTCTCTACAGGTAGATTCTACCGGGACTCCAGGGCAGCTGTCAGGGATCAGAAAACTCTGTTTCGATCCCTTGTCCAACCACACAGGTGACACTTTTCTTTGCCTTTGGCACATTTGGGAAGCTAGCTGAGTTACTCAAGTAGATTCCAATTCCTAAAATTAAATAACAATAGCCTTCAACTTAAAAAAAATGTTTAGCCACTGTGATTCCGCCCCCCCCCCACCTGAAGTTAGCAGTCTGCAAGCTAGAAGTATTGGGAGTACAAACACAGAGGAAAAGAAGCTAAGAGGATAGTTTCAGCAATAAAACAAAAACGACAGCTTCGGGCTTGGAGAGCTGGATTCTGAGAGCATCTCTCTAAAAGTGTTTTCTTCAGCAGCTGAGATATGCAACCTTACAGTTTTGCATATCACAGTAGTGAGCTGATATTTACATACATTATTAAAAATACAAGAAAATTAAAAGTTGGGCATGGCGCCTTACACCTGCAATCCCAGGTCGAAGGAGGACAAAGATGAAGGCTTGGGGGAGTTTGAGGCCAGCCTGAACTACATTCGTGAGTTGCAGCCGCGACAAGGCTACAAAATTAGACCCTGTCTTAAACAAAACAGACAAAATAAATCAAAACGAGCAAACAAACAGAAACCCAGAAGGGGGACGTAAGCATTTCAAGTAAGCGCGATGGAAGGGGTTCTGTAAAAGAATAAACATTCTGATATTTTTTGCGCGCCCCGCTTTGGAGACCTCCGCCTGCTGTAAATGGAGGAGGGCTCAGCCGACTGAGAGAGAAAATTGAAACAAATGTAGGTGTTCGCGGGTACCTGGGCCTCCTTCTTAAGGCAGTCCGCCAGGCCAATAATGGCCCCGGGCTGAGCCACGTGGGGTGCCTCAGAGCCTATGGCACGGCGGCCGGCTTGTCTGTGCCCCGCCAGCGCCTGGTCCCCAGGACAGCCGTGGGGAACTGTCAAAGCGATCTGGACAGGAGTTGGGAGTCCATGAGCTGCACAGCGCCAGGGCCTGGCTTGCAGATACCAACTCGGGGCGGCTGCCCCCCAAGTGCCGGCTGCCACCATGAACGGTGAGGAGCAGTACTATGCGGCCACACAGCTCTACAAGGACCCGTGCGCATTCCAGAGGGGCCCGGTGCCAGAGTTCAGCGCTAACCCCCCTGCGTGCCTGTACATGGCCCGCCAGCCCCCACCTCCTCCGCCACCCCAATTCGCAGGCGCCCTGGGAACACTGGAGCAGGGAAGTCCCCCGGACATCTCCCCATACGAAGTGCCCCCGCTCGCCGAAGACCCTGCGGTGGCGCACCTCCACCACCTCCCAGCTCAGCTCGGGCTCGCCCACCCGCCCTCCGGGCCTTTCCCGAATGGAACAGAGCCTGGGGGCCTGGAAGAGCCCAGCCGCGTTCAGCTCCCTTTTCCGTGGATGAAATCCACCAAAGCTCACGCGTGGAAAGGCCAGTGGGCAGGTAAGCCTGGCTTTTCTCCCTTTCTCTTCTCCTAGTGTAGACTCAGCTGCCACTATCTCCCTTGGGCCTTTTCCGAGTTCCTCTTCCACCTGCAGGGATAAAGCAGGCTTAGCATAAACTCTGGCGGGGCCAACAAGTCCATTCACCTGGAAGCCTCTTCTCCACTCGGCATTCCTCCTTCCTTGCGAGTGTCCTAAGCCTTTCTTAACCTGGGAACCGGCTCCCACTCCCAAGAAAGCCGAGGCCTACCCAGGTTCAAACCTTCTTGAACTCTCTGGATCTTTCTGCAGCGGGAGATCTGGAAGCCGAGGACTCCCAGGTAGTGGGCCCCAAGTTAAAAGCAAGTCTTCTCTGACATAGGCTGGAACCCCTTGGGAGCCTCAGGCCCCTTCACTTCCTGGCCCTGTGCAGGTGCTGGTGGCCTTATTAAAGAAAATGGGCCTCCTGGGGCCAGCGAGTAGAAGAAGAAAAGCAGAAAAGGAAAGAAAAATCGCATCCATCCAGGCCTGCCAAGGGTCCGGAGGCCCTGGAGTAGAGTAAGGGGTGGGAGCGAACAGGAAGAGACTGGGGCGAGGTGAGGGGCTCACCGAAAGGCGGCTCCCCGAGCATGGCAGCTGGGAGAGACGTCTGGGGTGCCAATTCTTTCTGGACCAACCAAAAGGGGTCGAAGGGTCTTCTCGCGCTGTGTCCCAGGAAGTACATATGCAATAAGAGGCCTCTCCTTCCTGAAGTCCGGCTCAGCGAAGCAAGACCCCCGGGTTTCCTTAGCTCTGGGCTTTGCCTGCTTTGTGCCAGGCCCTCCCTGGCAGCGGAGAGGCGACGCAGAGCAAGCTCTAGGTCCCTTCCCTGCCGGGTGCTGGCAGCGAATTCGCACGGGGCCTGTGCCCGCCGCTGCACAGTGTTATCTCTTCCGGGCTGCAGCCACTTCTGGTCACACCTGTACTGCAAATAGCAGCCTTTTCTTTGCCTTCCGACTGACTGTCAGGAACCACGGGTTCAGAAGCTGGAGTTGGCATCCCCTGAGAATTTTCAACGTCAGGTCTTCAGGGCCTGCCTAAGGAGCCTGACTCGGGCCCCAGGAGCAGCCAAGCAAAGCTCTGGAGAGGGTCTGGGGTAGACCAGGCTCACCAAAGTCTCAGGGGACACCCAGCGAGAGCAAAAATCCTGACTTAAGACAAGACAGGGCTCAAACTCTTCCTGAGGACATCTGTCTCTCACCTCTGACCAATTCCAAGCAGATGAAGCAGGTAGATGCTGCAGAGGTGTCTCAAGGCCAAGGCCAAACGTCGCTGAGACCCGGTTCTTGAGCTGCCCTCCACCCAGGGGGTTCTCAGTCCCTAGTTCTTTGCCAAGGATTCTGTCTTTTGGGGCTCCCTCCCGCAGAGCACTGGAATCTCTGGCTATCCGCTTTTGCGTTGGACTAAGGAAGAAAGAAACTAGAGAATAAATTCTGAGGGCAGGCCGACAGCTTTTCCTGTGCTTGGAAAACTCTTTGGAGAAGCCTTCGGACTGCAAAATTCGGGCGCCAGAAGCCTTTGCGGGTCCCTTCTGACCCTCTGCACGTCCGACTCTGGACTGGCCGCCCCTCTCTTCTTCCGGTGGAGGCCTGCAGGGAGCTCCAGCCGGCTCCACTTCGGAAAAACTGTCAAGTTTAGCGAGACCACCTGCGTGTGCTCAGTGGGGTTTCACAACCCTTGGAAAGGGCGCGATGACCAAAGGGCTCATAGTCGAAATACAAATACTAATGGCGATAGCCACTTGAAAATAATTGGACCTCAAAGAACTTCCCCACTGGCCGGTTCTACTCCGAATCCCGAGAAAAAGTCAGACTGGGGAAATCGGAACATTTTCTCACCTGCAGATTCCAACTTTAGTTTCCGTCCTCTGCTTCCTCTAGCCGGACACAGATCCCTATAGCTTTTTGCTAGGGCTCGGCAAAGTAGGCAGCTGAGGGCAGGAGTCCGAGGAACCTGTGAGTTACATTTATGAAACCGAGATTGGCCTTTTTAAATGATTCGAAAAGGGTAAGTCTCTTCTCTCTCCTCTTTCGGGGAAGGCCTGTGTGGTTTCTGAGGTGTTCCCGGGGAGAAGAGCTGCTTTTCAAAGAGTGGTCTAGGGGCCTCAACTCAACTTCTGGTGCCTCCTCTTGGTCCGTCCAGGAAAATAATTCCTTGCCCTGACTGCTGTCACGTCCCTCGCCTCTGTCCAGAATCAAGTCGGCCTTGGCCTCTTCGATGAGCTTTGGTGGAGAGCCCTAAAATAGTGTTCACAGTCTAGGCATTCGGGTGCCCTGCACAGACCTGGGGAACACTCAGTGGTGTCACTGATTTCCTGGAGACTTGGATTTGTTGCTTGCTTTAGATGAGGGTTTGGAGCTAGGACTGACAAGCCCCGTGGTGATCTATCCCTTTTCCAGAATAACTCTGAGTTCCTCTTCGACCTGGTCTCTGCCAATATTGGTGGCACAGCACAGAACGGGTCTCCTGTGTGATCTTTCCTCGCCCTCCCAAAAGTATTTCTTCTTCTCAGAGGCAGGGTACTAACTAAAATTAAAGTAACAATTGCCTCTCAAGGTGGGGCTAATTACAATATAACCATATTTTTAAAACAATATAGGGAAAAAAACTAAAAAAAGTTCCCTCTTCTAATATAAAGTCCTTAGTTCAATTCACCGAACCTAAAATTTAAAAAAAGAACCAACTTCCCAAAGCTGTGCTCCCACCTCCACAGGCACATTGCAACGCTCATACGTGCATATCCTACGCACAAAATAATAAATATTTAAATAAATAACGATATGTTAAAAGACATAACAAAATGTTCCCATAACTTAATGAGCGCCATGTTCTTTCACACTGCAATCTGTGTCCGTTAGTGAGTCATTTTCAATTCATTTAAAAAAATATGTTTCGAGACCAGAGCTCAATATTGCTGTTGCTGGCCTGGAACTCGTTATGAAGACCAGGCTGGCCGCCATTTGCCTGCCCCTGCCTCTGCCTCCTGTGCGCTGGAATTAGAGACTGCACCACGATGCCTATCTTGTAAAAAATAATAATAATAATAATAATGATAATGATAATTTAATGTGTTGAGTTTAGCATTATTTTAAGCTAACGAAACAGTGAGTAAAGAGGAGAATTAGCATAGCGTGTGGTAAAAGCATAGTCTAGAAATGTTTATCGGGTCTATAGATTCCTGTAAAGATGGGATAGTAATCCGAACCCTATTTCATCCAGTCAGACTGATTTGGGTCAATGTGAGAAAGTTTAAAATCCTATGTTTACAGCATATTATTGCCTACGTAGAATGGAATCAATCAAAGTGTCTATTGTGCGCATTTTAATCATTTTAACATCCGATAAGTGAACTAATTTTGAAACAACAGACCCAAGAATGATATCGAGGCGCGGCTGTGGCCTAGGAGAAAGGGAAGATTGTGGTGCAGCCACAGTAGGCTCTGGAGCGAGGGGCTGCGCACGGTCTGACCAGTCGCGATCAGTAGGAGGGCTATTACTGGGCTGGGGATAAAATATTTGGGCTGCATTGTGCCCCGGGGACCGCACTGACGACCGTGTCGCCCACAGGCGGTGCGTATGCAGTGGAGCCGGAGGAGAACAAGCGGACCCGTACAGCCTACACGCGGGCGCAGCTGCTGGAGCTGGAGAAGGAATTCTTATTTAACAAATACATATCCCGGCCTCGCCGGGTGGAGCTGGCAGTGATGCTGAACTTGACTGAGAGACACATCAAAATCTGGTTCCAAAACCGTCGCATGAAGTGGAAGAAGGAAGAGGATAAGAAGCGAAGTAGCGGGACCGCAAGCGGGGGCGGTGGGGGCGAAGAACCAGAGCAGGATAGTGCGGTGACCTCGGGCGAGGAGCTGCTGGCGTTGCCGCCTCCGCCACCTCCGGGTGGTGCTGTACCCCCAGGCGTCCCCGCTGCAGCCAGAGAGGGCCGGCTGCCTCCGGGCCTTAACTCGTCACCACAACCCTCCAGCGTAGCGCCTCTGCGACCACCGCAGGAACCTCGGTGAGGATCGCAGGCTGAGGATGAGCGAGCGGGTCTAGGACCCCGAGTATGGATGGACGCGCTGCGTGTGGGCCCCTAGATAGAGAGGGGATGGTGAGTCTTAACCTGGATGCCACTCAAGAACATTCTTGAGGGCACATGCCAGTTGGGTATAGCCGGGAGAGATGCTGGCCGACTTCCGGAAAAAGAGACCTTGGATTCTGAAAACTTTGGAGACTGTGATTGGCCAGGTCTGCCTCTGTTGGTCGTGTTCCTCTCCCTGTCTCCAGGGCTCTATCCTGGGACCTATTTAGAGGACCGGACTCAAAACTGGTGATGATGGAAAGAGGACAAACGTGATCATTAGCCTAACGTCCAGTGGGCGGGAGAGCTGGGCTGGGTGCCTTTGTTTGCCCAGAAAACAACTGCCATTACTGGGCCGACTATTTTAAGGTTAAGAATAATGAAAACGAACTGCTTGAAGTTTCAAAGACGCAGTGAAGTGTGTGTTTCTTCTAGCCATCCCTCCCTCCACCCCTCCTCCCTCCTTTTGCCTTGCTTCCCCTCTGCTAGATTCTCCCCCCCTCCGCCCCCCCCCCGTCTTTAGCCAAATATTTCATTAACATCCATTCTTCAACCTGCACTCTTTTCTTTGAAGATCAGAAATTCTTCACCGACTGGACCTGAGGGGAAGAGGAAGCAAGAGTCCTCTCCTCATGCACCTAATGGGACCTCCTGGGTCCTTAGGGACCAAGCTTGCACAAGGACATTTGAGATTTCTATTTAAAGTGTGGATATCTTCCCAAAAGGAAGCCCAGGTGCCACAAACTCTTCACAAAACCCTGATGTGATTTCTACACCGTATTTTGAAGGTTTGGGGGCGGGGGGGGGGGGGGCTGGTTGTTTTCGTTTAAAGCTTTAAAATTAGCCGTTCTTTGCCTACGTGTCTGCCGTTTCCAAGTCGGTTGTTTCTTTCAAAGTCTGAACCTTATGTTTAGGTTGTTTGTGGAAAATGCTTAATAAATATGAATTGCATGCTAGGTAACGAAGACAAATTCTCTTGGCCTGATTTCAAACCTCCCTAGAAGATGGTGTTTCCCTCTCGTTTAAAAATGTAACTAGCAGTTTCGATTAAGAATCATTCAGCTTCAAGCTGGGTGGTGGTAGGACAGCTGAGGCCAGGGAAGCAGCGGCACTTTTAATCTTAGTACTGGGAAGCAGAGGCAGGCAGATCTCCAAATTGGAGGCCAGCCTGGTCTATGGAGCTAGTTCCAGGACAGCCAGAGACTGCAGAGGAACTCTGTCTTCAAAAAAAAAAAAAAATAAAATAAAACAGCTTTTCTAACAAAAATGTTTTGTTTTTGTTTGTTTGTTTGTTTGGTTGGTTGGTTGGTTTGAGTGAGTGAGTGAGTGAGTGAGTGAGTGAGTGAGTGAGTGAGTGAGCAAGTCTCCACCCTCAGAGACCCAGCCCAGGAGTGCCTTGAACTAGCAAAATTGGCTTCAAACTCGTACCCCTCCCTGCTCTGCAGGCAACTCCAGAATAGTTGCTTTAGTGGCACCAATGCCTCTTGAGCACCCCTACAGTCTAAGTCTGAGATTCAGGAGTTACTACTTTTATTTCTTTCCTACACAGAGCGATATTGGGCAGTCTTATTTGTTTACTTGCCTGCTTAATAAGTTGCCCTATTTCTCAGAAAGTCACAACCTTGTAGGAAGACACTCTCCTAAATCCGGAAGGTGAATGTGCCCTCTCCTGGTGGAGGCTACACACTGGTTGGGCTCTGAAGTGTGACAAATCTACATTGGAGATATAGGAACAAAATGATTTAAGCCTGGTGGTGGTGGTGGTGGTGGTGCACGTCTTTAATTCAACACTGGAGAGGCAAAGACAGGCAGATCTCTGTGTGTTAGAGGTCAGCCTGGTCTACAGAGCTGGTTCATGGACAGCCAGGGCTACCCTTTCTGAAAAGAGAGAGAAAGAGAATGAGAGAGAGAGAGAGAGAGAGAGAGAGAGAGAGAGAGGAAAGAAGGGAGAAAAAGGAAGGGAGGGAGAAAAAAAAGAAAGAAAAGGAGAGAAAGAGAAAAGGGAAAAAGAAAAAAAACTTATTTAAGTTCTTCTCCCATTTTGAAGTGGTGACAAAATTTTGTGCTACCTTATAGGATTGCTGCAGGGTTTAAATTAAAGACTATAAATGGGTTTAGTTTACTATCTAGAAAAGCATGTAACTGCTCATGGCCATTTCCCTGGCCACTAGCCTCTCCCAGTCTCCAGGGGTTCCTGGAAGGCCCCCCTTTGGCAAAGCCCCATCCTGTCGATATGATTTTTACATACCCACTGATCTTAGATGAGCACTTGTGGTTTTACAAAAATTCCCTCGTTGCCACAGCAACCTCCTCCAGGTGCTTCTTCCTAGGATGCTTCTGTAAGGTTGGTGGAGACTGAGAACTGTCCAGTGTCCAGATGTTTGGGTTCCAGAGTAAACCAGTCTGCTCTGAGAGTCTGAGAACCTGAGATCTCAGTCTCACTCCTGGTATTGGCCGAGTTGCAGCTTCCTCACCAGGCTCTGGGATATGCCCGAGGGAAAAAGGCATAGGCTGGCAAGGGTTTTGGACACAGGGGTTTTGGACACTGGTAGTTGTAAGGCAACTAACTGGTTTGCTCTCTAGATCAGCCAGAAGAGAGATAGCTCATTCTTTTCCTCTTGTGAGCAGGAGGGTCAAGGTCTGGTGGAAGGAGCTGGGATACCTGGGGCATGGGAACACTCTAAAAATAAAACCATCTGGTTCCCCTGACCTTGTATCTCCCATCCCCTTACCTATGTGTGGCCTCAACGGAGTCAATTCTATTTCCTCCTGTATTTGGGGCCCATAATGAAGATGAAAGGAGATGGCATCTTCTGGAGGGCTTTGGAGGAGGTCCAGCACACATCTTTCAGCATACGTAGTATAGGAGGTGGTTGCTGTCCCTTAGTTCGATAGAAACCTCTCTTTGGGATAATCCTCAAGAAAGTAAGAGAAAACAGGACTCTTCAGAGACAGCAGCCTCAAGCAAGGGGAGAGCTGCATTGGCATAACCTTGGGTGGCAAGATGATTCGGGTCTTCTGGCACTGGGCTTCCACCTGAGTTCCAGGAATTCAGCAGCCTCCCAGAGCTGACTAGCTGGAAGGTGCAGGGTAGGAAAAGACACACATCCTGGCCGCTGGGGATGTGGGGGTGGGCTCCAGGCGCTGGGAGTTCCAAGCTCAAGCCTGTGAAGAAGTCTGGGTTTCCGAGAAATGAGGCCTTAAGGATGAGAGAATAGACTGGGGGGGGGGCACGGACACGACTGTGGGGACCTGCCCACCTCCCTCTGCTACTCTGGGGTTTTGTGTGCTCCAGTCCTGTAAGGAGCACCACTGAGGGTGAGTTTGGAAAGTGTTAGAGGAAGGTGTGTGAACCCCTGAGCGTGCCTGCCTGTACCTCCATGCCCACCCCCTCTTCTCCCCTTCTTTTCCCGGGGATGCCCTGGCAGGATCCACCATGTACCTGACCAGCCACTCCTCTTGAATTTATCAGTAAAGTGAGAGACCTTCCTGAATCACCGATGTGTGGATCAGTCCTGAACCACACTGACAGTGGTCAAAGTGGAGCCCTGGAGAACATTGCCAACTTCTTCAATGTGCACCCTGACCTGGAAGCCTTTGGAAACGGCAACCTGACTCCTCGACCAGAGAACCTGAACTCAGGGATTTCTGTGGTTTTTCCCAAGCCCTGTGAGTTCCCAGTCCAAGACCAGAATGAAGGCGGCATGGGGATAAAAATAGTAGGAGTGGTACTGAGAACATACTGTCTGAAAAGTATCTATGCACCTGCTCTAGGGAGCTCCCACCTAGAACCGCCAGACTCTTGTCCTGAACTGGAGTCCCTGCTGTGTTTGCCCTGGGGACTCAGGATTATCTGTCCTAGAGGGAGTAGGGCTTAATCAGGCTCACCAGGAATCTCTTTTGGAAGAACAAAGGCAGCTTCCACTTCCCAAATCAGCGCTGGGGTCCTGAACTGGTAAGGTCACCTCTCCACACCCTCTCCAATTAATCCAGCCCCAGTGTCTAAATCTGAATGAAATTCAAGTGTTGCTCTTTCGAGTTAGTGAATTCTACCTGTTACACTTCTTTTTAAATATTAACATTATTTTACTCTCTATGTATGGGTGTTTAGCCTGTATGTATATATGTATGCCAGGTGTGTGCCTGGTGCCTGTGGAAGCCAGAGGAGGGCGTCAGATTCCCTAGAACCGAAGTCACAGATGGCTGTGAGCCACCAGGTGGGTGCTGAGAATCAAACCCAGTTCCTCTGGAAGAACAGCCGGTGTTCCTAAGCATAGAGTCATCTGCTAGCCTCTCCTATTCTAGGTCTAAGATACACACCCCTATCAATCTCTCTCTTTGAGTCTGTGCCTCTTTAGATAGCCATGTTTGTATGGTTGATGTCTAAGGGTGAGCGCTATGATTGTGCTGGCCTTCCTTACCAGTGCCCTGTCCCTTTAAGAGACAAGCAGTCCAACTTTGTGTGTCTGGATATGCCTGCATACCCCACGTGGTGTGTTTATGTTTATATGTTTACTGTGTGTCCGGTAGGTTGCCATAGTGACAAGGGTCAGGCGGCACTAAACACCCAAGGCTGCTTTCCTATATGCCTTTTCCTTTTCTCGTCCTTCCTTTCTTCTTATTTACTTATTTGTTTATTTATAGACAAGGGCTCACTCTGTGGTTCTAGCTGGACTGGAATTCTGTATGTAGACCATGTTGGCCTTGAACTAACAGAGATCTGCCTGCTTCTGCCCCTGCCAAGTGCTGGGATTAACAGTGTGCACCACCATGCCTGACCCTCCCTCCCTTCCTTCCTTCCTTCCTTCCTTCCTTTCCTTCTTTTTCTTTCTCTCTGTTCTGGAGATGAAACAAAGGATTGCGCTCACCCTGTGCAGATTTTCCAGCACTGACAGTGACCACAGCCCCAACCCATTCCACTTTCTTCACAGATGGCTTCTCCTGCCTTTAAAACTGTTCAAAATGTAAAGAACTGAGACAATTTTCACCAGAACAAGCCATCTGTGGTATTCTACCATCTTCTACCAAGGTTTCAACCCTGTGTCACCTGAGTAATTTCCAAATCTTTTCAAGAAAATTCGAGGTCACAGCAACTACCAATCATGGCCTTAACAGCATCACATCCAGGCGGCCCAGAAATACCATGACTGCGAGGGTCAGGAAAGAGCAGAGCTCTCTGTACTCAAGCCCACCTCTGTCAAGCTAACGGGAAACTGAGGTAGGGCAGCAGGAAGCAGAAAGCTGTCCCTGCAGGGACAGGCAGTAGCTGGAGCCTTCTGGACATTTATCTCTGTGGATAGATCGGAAAGCGTAGGAGGACAGCCAGACACAGTGGGAAAGGAAGGCTAAACAGTGGCTCCAAATAACTGTTCCCAGGGTGAAAGAGACTGACTGGCCAATCAGATCTGGTCTTCAGGCTTCCTCAGGGTCTTGGATGTCAATGCAATTTCAAAGCTGTGTTTGTTTATCAGTAGGTGAAAGGAGCATGACCAAACCTTATTCCGACATTTTCACTAAAATTATTTTCTCTGATGTTGAGTGTAGCTCAGTAACTGAGCTCTTGCCTAGCGTGCACATGTAAAAATTCGTCTATATTTTGGGCTCTAGATGAGATGCCATGAGTTTTGAAAGCACAGACAACTCCAACTTTGAGCTGTATTCTACAATTTGACTTCAAGGAGTTGAATTGCCTAGAGTCTTTTCCTAAAGACTCAGGCAATGAAAATATATGTTCTTTTGGGCTGGGGCTAACCCAGCCTAGCTTGTACCTGGGTTCGGTGCCCAGCATTGAAATTAGATCGATCACATACGCATGCATTTGGAGGTGTTCCTCTTCACTGTAACACAGGGCGCTCTTCAAATGTATGGTGATAAGATTGGCTATTCCTATGAATGAACTCTATTCTTATCTGAATGAATTTTTCTTCCTGACTTCTCTGCCAGACCTGATCATGAGACTATGAGGTTTGAAAACATCTTATCTACTATTTGCCCATGTTCCAAATCACTTAAGAGGTTCACACAGCTGAATACATCTGGGAATGCTTTTTATATTACATGGAGTGGTTTCCATCCTTCTTTCTTTCTTTTTCTTTTTGGTTTTTTGAAACAGGGTTTCTCTGTGTAGCACTGGCTCTCCTGGAACTCACTCTGTAGACCAGGCTGGCCTCAAACTCACAAAGATCCACCTGCCTCTGCCTCCTGTGTACTGGTATTAGAGGTGTGTGCCACAACTATACGACCATGAAACCGTTTCTACTTCAGGAAAAATAAATAAGTACATATACAAAAGGTATCACCAAAAATTGAAAATGTGAAAAGCCTGTATTTATTGGATTCATTATAATAAACGCATACATACTTTATTTGGACTTAAGGTTGCAAGAGGAAGTTTCTAATAGGGAAATGCAATGCCCCCCCCCCACCCCATATGAGTGGGCTCCTCCACAAAGACCCAACCAAACACCAAGGCAAAGATATCTTTCAAGCTACCATTTGCTCTCAGATTCAGTGGAGGAGAAAGGGAAAGACCCTGGGTCACAGGGAAAAAAAAAAAAAAAAAAAAAAAAAACAAAGATTTTCCTCAGAACCCTGGACAGGGCTTGGCTTCCTGAGCTGTGTCCGTTATTTATTGCCCTTCTGAAGCAGGGCAAATAACTTAATCCCTTTGGCCCTGTCTTTGACCCCTGGAATTAGGGCTCTTCTCATCTTCTGTGATTGTTGTGAAATAGTTTATGTGAAGAGTAGAGTCCACTGGAGTAGGGCTTTCCAGAAGCATGCCGTCCCTCTGAAAGCTGAGGCCTCGCCTCTCCTACTCGATACGTGGCAGAGCGTGGTCCAGCGGGCCCCAGGGGAGGCAACATTAGCAATGCCATGCAGACTTTTTTTTTTTTAAAGGATCTTCTGTCCACCTCTGACGGACACCTGAATCTAATTCAGGATCCAGGCCAGAGTGTGTGGCCTACAAAGTGACATGGGTACTGGCCAGACCCAAGCAAAGACATGCCTACAGATGGCAGAGCATTGGCACACAGCACACACGGCACCGGTACTCACTTCCTGTGGCTTTGCACACAGAACATGCGTGCATCATCTAATTCTGGGGTTGTCTGGTGACTTCGGGGATAGAGGTATTTTGATGATGTGGGATTGGCATAGCAATTCTTAGGACCCCAAGAGTAAGAGATTGTCCCCTGATCTCACTTATAAATCATTTCCTTGGCTGTTAGTCTATCAATTGGCTTTCAGTGTGACTAACAGAGACCACCCAAATAACAGGGCCTTATACAGAAACAGTTCATTTCTGTCCTACATGGGAGCCTGTGGCTAAGTTGCTTCGAGCTGTCTGGGGCATGGCTGCTTTGACCTTTCCTTCTAACAACCCTGTGTTGTTTGTTCCGCCCAATGCCCCGTGCTGTGCTCCATTCCAGGCACCTGCTTTTCAAGCAGTAGGCGGGGAGGAGCAAGGATGAGGTAGGCAGAAGTGCAGTCCGCGAAAGACTAAAAGATGATGTGAAACCCTCAGATCCGCCAATGTGCGCCCTTACAGAGCAAAGGGGCTTTAGAAGGATGATGAGGCTAGGGACCTTGAGGAGATTATATGGACAGTCAGCAGTGGCAGTGAGAGCCATTCTCCAACTACAAAAGCTTGGATCTGCTAACCAGCTGAGCAACACATAGCAGCACATTCTCCAGAAAGAACATTCTCCTCTTGACTTAAGCCCTGGGGGCTTTGTTTTGTTTTGTTTTCCTTACTGGCCTGGTTTTTTTTCTTTTCTTTTCTTTTCCTTCTTTTTCTTT